ATAAGGGTACCCTTTTTCCTACTATACAATTTTAATAAGGAGACCCCAAAATAAAAAGGGCAAAAGGGTACTACTGGGGTACCTAGATGAAGCAAGGATCTTCGTTGGCTGAAACTCGAAAGCACTCTCCGGCGCCTCGCCCGTAGCGTTGGGGTCCTCTGGCCATGAGATGGATTTACGGTTAAAGGGTTTGAGGTTTAAGGTTTAGGGGTTAAGGATCTATAAGGTTTGAAGTTTAAGGCTTCTATTTGTAGATGAGATGGGTTTTACACTCTAAGTTTTGAAGTTTAAGCTTCGATATTTACAGCTTAAGGTAGGTGATAGCGGTCCAAAACATCTGGGGTCCCTTTGAAGTCGAAGGTAGGTCTCGCGGTAAGGATTTATCGGGGTGCATAGCAAGAGTTCAAGGTTATGGCACGAAGCTAAACAAGCGATTTAGCCATGCTTTTTGAGCTGACGATCACTTAGCCCGCACAACACCCTAAACCCTAAAACCCAAAAACCCTCAAAACCCTGAAACCTTTAAACCCTATTGAAACCCCTTGCAACCTTTTGGTAGTCCCAGAATTCCTTACCTAGTCACCATCCTTATGAAGTTTTTCGAGCAAAGGTCCGTGTTCAGCTGGGTGTTCGAGGTGTTGGTGGCTGCAGCCTCAAAACCGCCGAGCTGGATGCAGCCGCGATCCTTGCAGTTGTCCTTGCATTGACGTGTTGCAATGCGTTGCAACATTGCGGCACGCTTTCGTGATCCGAAAAGCCTAGGCGATATTTGGGGAACCGATACAGGGGTCCAGCCGATAAAGGATGTCGGCTTGTGCATGGTGGACTCTGTCTCTTTTTGCTTGGGGGAAGCAAAGGGGCGTAGTTACACAATGTACAAAGTACGCTGCATCCAGAATGATTTGGCTAGCAATAGACAGGGATCGTAAACTGAAAGCACTTCCCGTCTGAAAGCCCCACACCTTAAGATCGCAAGCCTTAGACATGCCTCGCCAATGAAAGCTTCCACTTGTTTTCATAAGATCAACATTGATCCGAAACAGGAAGAAATTACAAACGTCCTTGCCATAGAGTTGAACCCCACATGTTTAAAGCTATTTGACCTTGAAACCTAACCAAGTGTCCATGGAAATGGGGATGGTCACCTCCTGGCCATTGCTCATGATGGTTCTCGTTGGGCACCTTGGGTTTGAGGATTGAGGGTTCAGTGGGTTGGGGTTTAACTCTTGGGCAGCGGAGCTGGCTGGCTAAGGTTTGGGTTGATGGTGCGCCGCCTGAGCACGACATTTTCATGTCATTCGTGTGCTCCACAAGGACTCAATTCCTCGAAAAGCTCGGTTCCACTTCGGAAAGTAAAGAACCAAGCCTGTACTAAACGAATCAAAAAATTAGGTGCCAACGTCATGTTCACACACAGCAAGCAAACACGCAGGAATTCCATGCACAAAAGGGTCCCAAAGAATTCCACGCCCATACAGTTGAAGTTGAAATCGTGGAAATCTCCCCAAATCCGCTCGCAAAACCTGCGCGATACACCTGACATCGACACCCAAGCCCTGCTGACGTTCCTGACCCAAATGGGGTCAGACCCATGACAGAATCATTTAGATCCCAATACGTTTAAGGCTACCTGCTCAGCTGCCCAGACTGATAACAAAGCCCGAACCTAAACTACCTAGACCCTCCTCCTACCCTCTGACAGGGCCTAAGTACCTACTGTTGGGGACCATATATCCCCAATTAAGGGTACAAGGAGGGTCCTGGTATTGGATACAACCCCTTAGGGATCCAAATAGCCCAGTGTAGGCAATATTTACAGACGTTTGGGCCCAATGTATGTATTATTTGCACGCTTGGATCCCTAAACCCTAAACCCTAAACCGCGTGTATTGGATAATTCATAGGACGGAGCACTCCGTTGAGCAGTAGCTGCGCGCAAGATTTCGGCAGGTCTCGCGCTCCATCTGGGTGTCCTAAGTGGTCTGTGGAGATGATATGGGGTTCAGGGTTTAGGTTGGGGGTTCGACAAAACTGGGGATCGCTGTTTGGGGCCCCTATAGTACGGGTTAATGTGGGACCCTCTTTAATAAGTAGGGCCCCCCCCTAACATTTCTGAGGCCCGTGTGGAATGATTTAAATGGGATTGTTGGGAATCCTGCCTATATTTTAAAGGCGCCAACGTCAAAACACATTATAGGGGGCCTTGCAATCATTGCCCTGATCCTGAATAGGCAGGCCCCAAAACTCATTAGGGGACCGGTTCAATAAATGAGGTCCAACATTATAGGGGATATGCGGGGGACTTTGATTTTTTGGAATTTCCCGCAGAGAATTTAGGCTGCCTGGTCTAAGGCGCAGGTGTTGAAGGATTAATTCAATGAAGGGTTTTGCGAGTAAGGGTTTGGGCTTGAGGGCGTTCAGTGACTAGTTACACAAAGAGCCCAGAATTTTGACAACTTTCTACGTGGAGGCTCCTTTAGCCAGTCTACCTACTATCCCCATATTCCAGGCCCCAAAAACCCCTTTGAAGAACTCAAAATAGCCTCCAAGTAGCTGAGATCAACACTTCCCAACTAAGTGCTGATTTCTGGGTCACTCTGCAGCACTCCGGCAGTCCACATGCTATAAGGCTTACCTGGACCCCCAGAGTATGTAGAATAATGGCCTTTTGGGCTATATTTAGGGGTTTTGGGCCATTATTTTACCTACTTTGGGGGTTTAGGTAGTTGCAAGATCTTGTACGGTGGTGCAAGAAACTGCACAGTTTTGCAAATCACTGAGGGTTCAACTGCACTTACATGGTGTCTGGTGGTGATTATTCTAGTCTTGGAGCACCAAGTTTGTGTTGGACTGTTTGGAGGCCGTCCGGCGAAAGAATAATGACCAACCACGTTGCTTCGTTAATCTTGAAAATTGGCCCTCGAATTGCTTTTGCTCATGTCATGGTCCCCAACAGGGACGCAACCAACCCCAAACCCCCAAACATAAGAGGTTTCTTATTTCTGCATGTGACCAAGTGACATACTTCTGGCAATTTGTGTTGAAGCAAGGGGAATCTGCCCTCGCGATGGTGAGCGGGCAGAAATTCTCCTGGGAATTTCTCAAGACTGTCTGCTGATCATGCTTAACAGGAGGCCCGATATGGGTTATATAGGGGATTCTATAGGGTTTAAGGTTTAAGAGGGATACTACTCGCTTACACTACAACGCATATACCCATGAGAAACCCTTGGTAGCCCTTGTACCTCTAAATCGTTGCCATAAGGCCCCCAGTTCTGAAAATCACTCTCCTGGCTTTCCCACTCGTTCACGGCCAACTTCACACCAGTGCTGGTCAAGTTGTCAATGATGTAGTCGTCACTTCCTTGCTGGCTCTGATGTAAGTTTGGTTTAAGGTTTAGGGCTACATGCCTAAACGTGTTATAAACGATATTTTCGAGACTTCCCCCAAAAACAGATGTCAGAAAGTCTTATGTCAAGTCATCGCATTGAAGAATGTCAATGAAGGCAACAGAATATACCATGACATTTCATCATCTCCTCTTTGATGCCCTTGCATTCCTTATTGTATCTCCAAGGTCTCAAGGGAACCCTCATTTTTAGGAAGCCACAAAACATGTGCATAGAACATGTACAAGATGGAGCAGTGGAGTTTCGGAACACGTCCAAAATGGACTGCCTCCCACAGAAAGGTCCGAAGGCAAAGCACTTGCGCCCGTTGAAGACAACACTGCCATTGACACTTTCCGGCTGCCCATTGAAGGTCCAATCGCCCGCATACCTTGCATCAATTTGAGGAGTCCATGCGAGATTGCTCACAATAACCCTTAATCCTCCAATCACTGAAACCCAAAGCGCCTCAACCCTGAACTTGTATGGCAGAATGGAGCTTCAAAGGGATTCGACTTTGAGCTGGGATAAAATACGATTGGGGTTTATAGGGTTTAGGGTGTGCCTTGAATACTTTCGGATGGTTTGTTGAATAGTGTATATGCTAATGAGGAATGACAATTACCAAGAATAGAAGCGGCTGTCATTTTAGTTGGCAAGCCTGCTTCATGTGAGGCTTTGTTAATGAATCTATGTGCCCTCTTGGGGGCTGGACTCTGGTTTGCAGCAAATGCTCCTGTGGTGGTCTCATAGCATTTCTGCATATTCGCAAGCCAAAAACTGATGCTAGATTCTGTACACAAGGCCTAGCCCTAAAGGGTACGTTTCACGTTGACGTGTATGTCGAAATTTACGTAGAACCGCCCTGAATTTTCAGGGATGCCATGTACCCTAAATGCCGGCATGCACTTCTTTTCTAGCTTCGAAATAACTACGTGTCATGAAGTACGGATTCTTTCGGCGTGGTTTCAACATTGAGTCCGGAAACCCAACCCTAGGCAAACCTTAATTAAGTAAACCATAAAAATACACTTAAAACCTTCAGCTCTAAACCCGGAAGCATGAATTCAAAGCCTAAATATCCTAAAGCCAAAGCCGAAAACAACCCAGGTGCTGGGTCCAAGGGCGATAGTCGCCCTCGCTACGCTTGTGCGACTCATCCAGGTCCTGCATTACAGTGCAAACGGCTTCAAGGTCAGGATTTTGGAGCACCGTGCCGTTATTCAAGTACCTAAATAACATGTAATGCCTCTATTGAAATTCCACGAAATTCCTGACTTCCCTTTTTGGGCCTAATTTCCATCCTTTGTAAAGTGCTTGGACCCTTCAAACATGGTTAAGGGCCAAAAGCCAAGACTCCCGAATTGAAATTCTACACCCGGAACCTTGCACAATAAAAACACTAATCCCTACATCCAACACCACAATGTAACGTACGGTGTGAGAATCGTGGTTTACGCTAAGCTTACGGCGCTAACCCAAGACTCCCAACCATTGCACGTCCTTCACAATCTGGTCGCCGTCAATGGTGATGTTCAAAATCTTCTCGTTGATCTCATGAAAACGCTGCCTGAGCTCATGGCATCCGATTGTTCGTTTGATCCTTCATTCGGTCCCTACGCAAACGTGGAACCCCAAAACATTGCAATCATCATCATCACAAACGGGCAACCTAAGCCTCCAGCTTTGTTGAGAAAATTCGAAACAACGAAAGGAACAAGGCCAATTGCTCTGAAACACCCATGACCGTACATTCCCCAATTTAACAGAAGGCCCATAAACTGCAACCCTGAAAGCATGTCTTCATTGGCGCCCTATAAGGTAAGTGGAGTCGGGGATGCCTTCATCAAGTTTGACCTCATGATCGCTTGCCGTCCTAGTGGCTGTCCGGCTCAACCCGACAAGTCGAAAAATGATACCCTAGCGGGAAATTTAATGTCGTGTGGATCCACCTCCAATAGGTTTACTTCACATCTTGCCCCCACGCAATGGATCATAAATCCTGAATGCCAAGCCATGCTTAAACCGCGCTGGAAAACAAAGTCCAAACTGCAAATGCCACGGAACCATTGTCCAACAGCCTGTCAATTGGAGTTAGGGGGTCCTCATGCAGAAGCGCCGGCATTAAGGAAAGCCCGTTTGTTACTGATTGTGGTCATCTGTTTAAAATCTCATGAAGTCCCCTTACATTTGTGCCAAGTCACAAATACTTGGGGTCCAGAATGTTGCAGCTGGCAACGTCAACGTCGTTGCAGGTCACCGAAAAGAGGTTGAATCGAGAGTTCCCAGGGTAGGTGCTTGACACATAATCCTGGGTGGGGTAATGTTTCAAGGTTCCAAATGTTCCTAGTCGAACGTTGGAGATGATATATTGCAACCCCAACTTGTAGCATGCATGCCAAAACAATCAGCCTACTCATCGTAATAAGGTAGAAAAGCACCACTTCTAAAGTGTCACCATAGTTTTAGCATAGTAGTAGAAGTAGTAGTAGTAGTAGTAGTAGCAGTAGTAGTAGTAGTAGTAGTAGTAGGCGCCCCCCCCCCCAACTATGTTGGTTGATATT